CCAATACATCTGGGTCCAGGGAAGGCTTCTTAAGGAGGGGCCTCACTACCGCCTCCTTTAAGGCTGCGGGGAGGACCCCCTCCCGTAAAGAAGCGTTTATAATTCCCTGGAGCCAGGCTCGTGTACCCTCCCGGGCAGCCAGTACCAGCCAGGAGGGACACGGATCCAATAAGCATGTGGTTGCATTCAGCCTCCCCAGCATCCTGTCCACGTCCTCGGGGGCCACAGAGTCAAACTCCTCCCATACAACAGTCTCAAGACCTGCTCCCGTCTCCTCCCCCGGGGCCACCCAGTCAGAGTCAAGGCCTTCTCGGATCCGAGCGACTTTGTTAGCTTCTCAGGAACTATAAAAATGAGCTCCCCAATTCTGGCTTATACTTTGATAATGTCAGCAGTTGCTGATGAAAGCTAAGTTTTAAATAAAATTTTTAGTCTTGGTGATCTGCCTTTTCAAGACATATCTCCTCCCCTGTCTCTTCCCTCCCTGATACAGCTGACAAAGTGAGAAAGAGCCTGTGGCCTAGGGGTCAACACAGCTGCCTAATGTGCAAGCAGCCCAGGTTTGAATCTCAGAAGGGTATGGCTGGCTGATGAGAGCTAATAGGTATTCCAGTATGTATATATATACATACATAGCAGAAAGAGGAAACTTAAGAGTTCACATGGTTGATACTATATGGAACAAAGCTGTTACTGAATCGAGATGTTCTGCTTCAGATACACATGCTCTAAAATTGGCTGGCTTTGAGTCTTTATTTTGACGAATGAAGGCAAAGTGTTCTAGGATAATGTTGCAGGATCCAATCTGGGCCAGTCACCAGGACCAGAGGTTTAGTCTTCCAAGCTTTTGGACTTGTGCTGGAGCCCTCCTCAGGGGACTTCTCTCTAGCAGAGTGCGTGATAAAAATCTTTATTTTGCTTTCTTTCTCCCTGCCCTCTCCAAATAATACCACAAATACATCTGATTCTTTTAGTGCTATTTTTGCAAGAATTATGAGATTTCACCACCCCACCTTCTATCTTCCCTTCTGTAATTGTAAATGATAATAGGATTTTTTTTTTTTTAAAAAAAAAAAACCAGTACACTTCAAAGACTCTTTATCCCACCCTCGCCAATAAAGTGCCATAGATCGCATCCTCAGCAAAAAATGTTGGTAAAAGGAAAAACATTGTCTCTACAATAGGCTGGGAATGAGGCCAAGGCAACTGTCACATGGGCAGGTCCTTTAAAAACAATAATATGATTTCATGGCAAGATGAGCAGGGCATGAGAAATGAGCCCTTAGCCATTTGCCTTTTACTCTGTTTAGCAAATTTCCAGTGTTACCTCATTAAAGGAAATGAGAATTATTTCTGTTTCCCATTGCATCTGCATGCCGTATGGCTTGCAAAGTGTTATAAAAGGAAAAACAAGGCAGCTTTCCCCTTTATAGCCTTGAACATTTTGTTCAATAATAGAAAAAAAAAATCAGAATTACCATATAGACTTTGTTCCTCTTAAGTGCTGCAGTAACAGATCAGATGAAATTTTCACTCCTCTGCAACTTTTAAGGAGAACATCAAATCCTTGACCTGGCAGCCCCACTTGTTCCATAATTTATTTGCACAAAAGCTCTGAGTCAGCAACCATTTGATACAGAAAACTCCTATCTGCAGTGTACAAAATGCAAGCTATTTAAAATATAGGTTGCTGTAACTGTATTTTTCTATGGTACTGTTGACATTCTCATCTTTCTCTTTCTCTCTCTCTTTTTTTTTTTACAAACATTGCAAATAAGCAATGATAAAGATTCAAATTAATTGTCCCCAGTTTATTATAATACCTGTTCAGATCTACCAGTTTTTAATTAGCACATCAAATTTATGTCCAAGTTGTTCTACTTACCATTGTAAAAAAAAACACCAATATTTCATTTTGTATTGCAATATCTTTCATAACAGTGTGAGTCAAGAGGCTATTAAAAAAAACTTCCTATAGTTTCTTACTTTGGCACAAAGAAGAATGTCTAAAAAATCCAAATGTCGCTTCTTTTGGATCTTTTCAAGCTCTCTTTCATTATGTAGTGATTTCTTTCGCTCTTCAATTACTTTTTCTATGAAGTAATACAAGATGAGTTAAATGCCAGGAATGAGAAATTCACTATGTTTACCTCATTTTATCCCTTGACTTCAGAAAAAAAAGGTTCTTATGCTGTCCTGAAAGATTAATTTGGTTCCTTTTATTACAAATAAAATTTGCAATATGCAAGCTAAGAGCTATTCAGAATAAAATCACTGAATATACCGAAATCCCTCATTAGGCTCCAAGAAAATTAAATAAGGTCTTCCTGATGCTAGACAATTTTTACTAGTGCTAAATAGAGGTTATTGTGTGTTGGCAGGTCAAGGATTTCACTGACATATCTTAAGACCCTAATGAGGCTTATCCCCCTAATTACAGAATCAGAAGACATTGCTTATATTATAATAAGCCTCAGTGAAGTCTATGGGACTTGCTTCTAAGAAGACATGCAGAGGCTAGCACTGTGAAGTAAGTGAAAAATTAAAACATGCTGCTTTAAGCATCACACAGTAATCATTAACTTTTGAGTGAAGATTGAACTACTTCGCTGCCAAATAAAACAATGTTTTATTTGTTTCTACTTGTCATATAATAGCTCTTATATAATGACATAAGAAGAAAGAGTTTCACTCCAAGTGGTTTCAATATGTTTGCTTTCAATTAATGAAACAGTCCACAAAAGTTGACCTTAGGCTACAGCCACTCCTCCTCCATCTTCATATATCCTGGCAACCAAGGACACGCTCACAGTAATTTTATCTTAATCTTACCAAAGAACACAAGACTTACCTGTATGATGGTGTGCCAATTTACAAGCCTGGTTAAATTTTTTTCCTGATGGGGTACGTGAATATAGGAAATCACTCCGAAGTATAGTGGAGGTAATTCTCCGAAATGACAGAAGAGTTAAGTCAGACACAGCTTGGACATAATAATCTAGATCTCTGATGGAGGAAAAAAATGATTCTTTTTTACAAAAAAAATTATTTTTTACAAATATGATTAACGTTATCCATGTTATTAGAACGTATTATTATAAAAGTTTTAACCTGTCAGTTTGGCAATTGCTCTTCTGACTGAATGCACATTTCATGATGCTGTCAAGAGTCATTAAACTAACATGGTCAAACATCTCCAAAGACTTTGTGGGCTCCTTTGCAATCAGTTTCTCCCATTTATCCTAGTGTGGAAAATAGAGATGGAACAGTGTAAGCTGTTTATAGGGTTCCCATGCCATGTGCCGTTTTGGTGAACTGCTGTCCAATATACCACTGAGTTCAACTCAGCTTCAGATAACTACATAGATATGACCATATTATTTACTTAGCAACAACATAGATTTCCCATTCTCATTTTCCGGAATTGCTCTGGAATAGTTTATATGTAGTCCTTGACTTACAACTACAACTGAGCCCAAATTTTCTGTTGCTAAGTGAGACAGTGGTTACATGAGTTTTGCCTCATTTTACGACCTTTTTTGCCACAGTTGTTAAGTAGATGACTGCAGTTGTTAAGTTAGTAACATGGCTGTTAAGTGAATCTGGCTTCCCCATGGAAACTTTGCTTGGCAAAAGGTCTCAAAAGGTGAATCCCAGGACGCTGCAACCAACATAAATATGAGTCAGTTGCCAAGCATCTGAATTTTGATCACCTGACCATGGGAAGCTGCAGTGGTCATAAGTGTGAAAAACTGTCATAAGTCACTTTTTTCAGTGCTGTTGTAACTTTGAACAGTGTCTAAATGAACTGTTGTAAGTCAAGGACTACCTTTACAATCCTGGAAATTCTGAAGGTCTCTTATCTGAGAGTTATCTAGGAATGGTCCTGCTCAGTTTATGATGGTCCCATTTGCATCTGCTTGTACAGCCTGAGGGAAAAAAAACTTTCCTTACCAGCATAACTTTGGTGGAATCTGCAATTAATGCCACATAGGGCTTCAAAATATTATAGTGAAAAGCTGGTGTTAACAATCGCCTGTGCTGGTGCCATTTTGTGCCAGCTAAGACAAGCAGTCCATTTCCTATAGATGCAAAAAGAAAAAGATAAATTACATTGAATTAAGTGGTAGTGGCGGTGATGGTGATGATGATATTATTCCATCTATTCTGACTGAGCTAAGAGATCGTTTGCGCTCAAAATAGATAGGCAGTTTATCCCAGGCTTGAGATATTTGAAAGTGCTAAGACAGAGTCAATGTACCTGCCACGTCCAGGCCCATCTTTCAAAATCCCATGAAACAAATCTCATCAGAAATGACAGCAGGGTTTTAAAAATGGGTCTGCACTGACCAGAATTGCATCTTTTGATATTCGTTTGACAGTGATGACCATATTTCATCTACAGAGCTCAAGGACTGTTGCATATCATTTCAAGTTGCCTTAGAATTCCTGACAGGAATATGATTTCTTTATCTCTCTTTTGCTTATTCATCGGGAACATAGATAAAATTTACCTTTTCATCTCCCTGTAGCTTTTCATCCATTCTTTGAATGTTAGGGAGATCAAATATTGAAGGTTATTCTATACTCTGTTGTTTTTCTTCCTAGTGTTGCCCCACTTGCAGGGTCACCCTCACTGCAATTCTTTTAACAAAACTATCACTACATAATGTGAGAAGGTTTTTGAAGAGTCTGATACTGATTTGGGCTGAGAAGGTATGACTTGACTGGTTCTAGTCCTCCATTAGGCACAGAAGCCATCGGATGACCTGGGACAAGCCTCTTCAATACATCATTTAATTGATTAAAGTGTAGATGTGATAAGCAGACTCTTATCATCAAATTGAATTTCTTGTAAATTAAATCAGGCCTTCTCAATTTGATAACTTTCAGGTGCGGTTTTGAATATAGTTCCAGATTTTGGTCCCATTATATACAACCAGCCTGCAGAAGACTGGAGAAGATCAAATTAACATTGGAAAGCTACACTATCACAAACAACATACTAAAATTGTCAATTTAACTATGTTTGGGGAAAAAGGGGGGGAGGGACAAATAGTAAAAATATTTATAATTGATTTTAATTTTTACACATACCAATCCAAGGAATCAAAGATGCATAGATGAATTCAGGCTTTGGATCTAGAAAATTCAAAGAAGATCAGAACAAAGTTATAATACAATGCTAAACATATACTGAAATAATTAACTTATTTGGCATAGATAAAGTTCACATCGGAAGTATGCTGCATCTTTCTTTCATTGAACAAATATGAGAGAATCAATAACTCTGATATTATTCACTTCCGGTGGTGACAGCTGGTATCGCATGGCGGCTTTTTTAGCCGCCCGTCCGGGAGCGTGTCAAAGCTTGAAGAGACAGCATCTGCCAGCTGTCTCTCGGCTAGGAACCTCGTCCCTCGGGCAAAGAGGGGGAGGTGAGTGAGTCCGGATAGGGCTAGAGCTTCCTTTCGCCCCGGTTTTGTCTTAATCCGGGGTGAAAGATGCTAGCTCGCCCGGAGTCTGGACAATCTCCGCGCCCCGAGACGCCTTCGCTCCTTGCTTGTGGAGTGAAGCCAGATGCAGCTCCCACCTCTGCGATTGAAGGTATTTGATTTAAAATTATAAGCAGACAGAACTGAACAGGAGACTGGAATTGTAATGGATTTATTGGGACTTTAACTTTGAAAATTATCAACATCTTCTTCATTTACTGAGGATTTAAAGTGAGAGAAAATGGCTGCGGATCTGCCGTTTCTCTGGATCACTTTCGCTTTTCATTTTTACTCTCGTCTGGCTATCAACAGGATAAAGATACATTGTTGCTTCTCCGGTTCTGGAAAGTCTTAAACACAATGAATTTATGATGTTTACTGATTGGTGACATTAATATTGTTACTTTTTTTGATGATATTTAAAGAAATTTGAAGAATGGTTTTAAAATGGCTCCGGAACTGAGGGAAAAAAGAAAGAAAATGTGAGAAAGTATTTTTTTTTCTTTTTGGTTATTGCTTGGGATTTATTGAAAATGCCTTTCTCTTTGATTATAAATGATGTACAAGATGCCCTGATGCAAGCAGTCAAGCAATATAATGAGGAAATTAAAGATATCTGGATGAAGAAATTGGAAGAAATGGTGGCATTCATTCTCCAGAGGTTTATAGCAGAGGTTGAAGAAGATGTTATGGAA